TATGCAGAGGATCCAGTGCCGGGTTGAAGGAATCATGAATCAACACCTGTACGTAAGTCAATAATACAATCTTTATTCTCTCACTGCTTTACACGTATAATTCTGAGACTAATTTTAATTCTTACAGGAGTATATGCGGAGGATCCAGCATCGGGAAGGGGGAACAATGAATCATCACGCGCGCGATGCCTGAGTTGGTCTAAGTTAATGTACTACCGAAGGCGGAGGGGCTGATTCGCGATTGATTAAATTGTGTTTTGGTGTTTATAAGAGGACTGATTAAACTTTTATATTTCCACAAAGTACTGTTTTTATTTTCATTACCTTTTGTCTAGCCTTCCTTTTTTACCTTTGATGGAAGATAAAACGAATAAGCATGTTCAAAATCAAGCGGGACCGCACTGAGGGTAGCACTTGTGGGCTCAAACAGAGCTTTTCCCCTTCCGTTTTTGGGAGCCCTACCCCTCGACTATGCACCGTCCTTTAGGTCCATGATGTAGACGACATGTATAGATAGACATGTAATTACATGTGTATTTATTAGACCTGTGGGCTTAGTGGCTGTGAACATGAACATGACCTGTGGGCTGTGCACAATGGCACAAATATGCAGGCCTCATTATATATTACTCATTATGCACTACAACTACCCAAAAGGATTCCCGAGTCGGAAATCCCGACCCGTTTGGCATGCACTGACACTGACATGCACGTAAAATATGCAAAAACCTATTCTAAATTCTCAATCTTGAATTAAACGTCTTGAACTTTGAACGAAGCTTCAGATTTTAAATCTTGATGAACAACAGTAGTAGAATGGCAGAATGATATAAGATAGAATAGAATTTCCATGTCAAATATTCATTATTACATTTATACTGCATAAATTTAATATTTGTTTAACAGATGTAACCAATTTTAAACTTTTCTGATTGAACTTAATCTTTTTACCGAAATTATAGCCGAAATATATGCGTAATATTGTTTAACTTTAAGGTAGAGAAAAAATGATAAAAATAGTGGAAACTAGAAAAAGTATATAGAAGAATATATGTATACAAAATTATTTATTTGTTAATTGCTTAAATTGTAATAATTTTATTCAAATAAATTTCAGTATATACTTTGCCACAAAATGGACCATTATTTGTGACCCTGAAAAGAATTATTTATGGAACTGAAAATAATTGTTTGTTCCTCAAAATGCAATGCAGCAACGCAAAGGAAAAGATGGACTATCTGAATCTGAACCAAATAAAAGACAAATAACAAATCCATATATACATTTATTATACATATATATATTACATGTACTGTGATTCGTCAAATAGTAAATAAAGCATTTATTGTTATTATGTAACTTATTTCTTAGATTTATATTGTTTGATGGATGAGTAAATGAGTAATAATTATATTTATACCACAATTTATACAACAGAACAAAGTTTTCTTCCTCAGTTTTTCTCTGGCAACTCTTCTACTTCTACTACTCTCTCTGAATGGTCTTGATCCTGAATATCTCCAGAATCTTCTGCAAATAATATTATAAAAAATAAATCAGAAGAGCGTGTTTAATGTACATATTTTTATAATACTATTACTTACAAACAATATTCTCGATTGCTTTACCTGCAGGTGAATTTCCTGTTTTCATAGTTTTCTCATGTTCTACCAAATCATTATTCAAAATTTTATGTTCTTCCTTTGAATTAACATTCCACGTCTTCCGCTTCCGCCATAGCCGACGACGGTGGAAACCAGCTTCTCGCAATCGATTACGCACTGTTTCTGCATTTACTCGTAAATCTAAGATTGCGGGAACGCTTGACGCAGATGCTGATGGTACCTTTTTCATTAATCCGACGATGGCATTATCTTCTTCTGGAGATGTTTTCCGCTTTCCGAAGTTGTATTTACGCCAGTCAATGAGGCCTTCTTCCCCCATGTCACGGAAGCGTGCCACATATGTCTTTACTGTCGTTAATGAGCAATTTAGCTCACGTGCTATGTGCCTATTGCTCCAGCCGCGTTCGTTTAACGCCACTATTCTAGATTTTAATAACAAACGTTTCTCTTTAGAATCCATCCTGCCGATAGTTAATAAACAATTGAACCCAATGTTGACTAGGCTGTCTGACTGGCGTGCTCATTGAGCTCTAGCTTAACTAGAGTGTGAACTGGGAGACAGAGGCCGGTCCGAGAGGTGGTTATGGTGTACTATATATCATAGTAAATTTGTTTGAAGAGGGGATGGGATACATTCATTGCTATTGCTCATGATATACATCTTATACATTTACTATAGGACCAAAACCAACCGTGTTCCATTTCTCTCGGATCGCTGTTGCAGTCATTTCTTCTCATATGAAAGTTCATACTGGTTTATACTCTACTTATTAGGATAGAGCTCAATGTTAGTGTTAAATTTCTCAGATTAAGGTTAGGTGATTGAATTGTTGTTTTGTATTTTGTACCCACACATCATTATATTATCATATGTAATTATTGATTACTTTACGCTTGATATTCTTTGCTAAGTATACATTTCATAATTTCTTGCGCTAATAGGATGCAATAAATAATTTTTAAGTACATATATATATATGTGTTTTCTAAGTGTAGAATGATGTTAATGAAAAGTTAATATATATTTTTTTAAATTGTTTCAGAACACGTGACAATTAAATATTTTTGAAAATGAATGAACAAGAATTTGAAGGCACTGAAAACATGCATATAACAGAGATCAAGCGAGTTCTGTCACGTTTTAAATCAGATAAGGGTGAAGTATTACCAGGAGGCTTGCTTGATTTGCCCATAAATATTACAGTAGATAAGTTACAAGCAATTTGTAATGCACTTCTGCAAAATGAAGAACCAATACCCTTTGCCTTTTATGTAAATGATGTTGAGATAACTGATACTTTGGAAAGTAATATTAAAGAAAATTTTACCATTAGTGAGGATGTTATTGAAATCGTATATCAGCCACAAGCAATTTTTAAAGTTAGGTCAGTTACAAGATGTACTGGAACGCTGGAAGGTAAATATATTGCATATTATGTTGAATATGTACTTTGTGTAATATTAATGCTAATTTATAATATTAAATGAAAACATGTATTGCATTTAGGTCACAAAGAAGCTGTAATATCAGTTTCTTTCTCACCTAATGGAACATGTTTAGCCAGTGGATCTGGAGATACAACAGTCAGATTTTGGGATATATATACACAAACTCCATATTATACTTGTGAAGGTCATAAGCATTGGGTATTATGTATATCATGGTCTCCATGTGGAACTAAACTTGCTTCTGCATGTAAAAATGGAACAATTTTGTTATGGGATCCAAAAACAGGAAAACAAATAGGTATATTTGTTAAAAAAGTTTTTTACTAAAGAAATATAGATCGATACAAATTGAATATTTTGAATATGTACATAGGAACTGATTGATTCAAGTTGAATATTTTGAATACATAGGAAAACCAATGTTAGGACACAAAATGTGGGTGACTTCTCTATGTTGGGAACCATTTCATAAGAATCCAGAATGTCAGTATTTGGTCAGTGCTTCCAAAGACTGTGACCTAAGGATATGGGATGTTGTACGTTCACAAACGATTCGTACTCTTTCTGGTCATACCAAGAGTGTAACATGTGTTAAATGGGGAGGAAGAGGTCTTATTTATTCCGCTTCTCAAGATAGGACTATCAAAGTTTGGAGAGCTGAAGATGTAAGTTGTACGAACAATATTTTTAATATTTTACAATAAAGTTATTAATCATGTTATTGAAATAATTCGAATATGTCTAGGGAGTCTTGTGTAGGACTTTAGAAGGTCATGCACACTGGGTGAACACTTTAGCATTGAATGCAGATTATATACTTAGATGTGGACCTTTTCATCTTGGAAAGAATCAAACGAAAAATGAGAGTCCTGTAGAATATGCAAAGAAATGTTATGAATCTATAGGTGAAGAAGTACTTGTTTCTGGTTCTGATGATTTTACTTTATTCCTCTGGAAACCAGAAAAGGAAAAAAAATCTATAGGTATATCAGTCTACTATAATATGTGTAAAATGATTATTATAAGACAATAATATGTTATTTTTTATTTCAGCAAGAATGACTGGACATCAGCAATTAATTAACGATGTGAAATTCTCTCCAGATAGTCGTATAATTGCATCAGCTTCATTTGACAAGTCTATAAAGCTATGGGAGTCGAACACAGGAAAATATATAACTTCATTAAGAGGTCATGTACAGGCAGTATATTCAATCTCATGGAGCGCAGATTCTCGCTTACTTGTTAGCGGCAGTGCAGATTCTACATTGAAAGGTAATCATATTGTACTAAAGTTCAAATTTCAACTTTAAGTTGAAAAATAATTGAATACACATGTTTTATTTTCGTTTTAGTTTGGAGCTTAAAAACAAAAAAGCTGTGTTATGATTTACCTGGTCACGCGGATGAAATCTATGCGGTAGACTGGTCACCGGATGGATTACGTGTTGCATCTGGTGGTAAAGACAAAGTTTTGCGACTTTGGCAAAATTAAATGATGTATGTAAGAATAAACAATTTTTACATGGTTTGAAACATTGTTTTAGTCATTTTTCCTTAGTCCTTTTTTTAAGTATTAATTATTACCAATGAGAAATTACTAAAGAATGGCAGCCTTATGGAATTTTGTATTATGGAAAAATGTATTGCCACCGAAGTAAGAAATAGAAAGCAAACCACTATCCTACTTTGTGTAGGATTGTGTCTCTTAAATGTTTTATCAAAGACTAATCAAGAAAAATGTTTATTGCAAAAAATCTTTTTTCGTCCTAGCAAAAAATGCTTCCGTAGTTGTAGCTGTCAGATACAAGGAAAGTCCTATGCAATTTCCTTCTAACTCCACTCGTTAAGAAATAATTGGCGATGAATGAACCAATTAATTGATTAACCCTGAAGTATACGAGATAGAAGGAAATTGTATACAACCTTTTTTGCGGGTAATAGCGGGCAGTACTTGTAATTTTTATTTGAAGCATTTTTTGAAATGTTGAGAACAAAAATTGTAATTTTTCTGAGATTTTTGTCAATGGGGTACCCCCCTACAGATTTTTCAAAATCTTCGTTTATTGTCAAAAATTTGTTGCCGCTGGCGAAAAATGTTTGAAACGAGACTTGTAAGTACCGTCAAAAATTATAAGTTTTGTATGAAACATTTTTCGCTAACATCAATAGTTAACGAGTATTTTGTAATAAATTGTTTTATCGTTTCTTGTCAAATACTCGTTACTTATCACGCTACAATGTTTCGCACAGAATTTGTAGCTCTAGTCGTCAGCTACAAATAAGGTCCTATGGAATTTTCTTGTAGGTCCAACAGTTTAGGAGTATTTGAGGAAAAACGAAATTTTTCTACAAAAGTTTGCTATTTCGACAGGGGGAACGGCCGCATTTTGCTTTTTGATGAAAACTTTTTCCAGTACCAATACAACGCCGATTAATCATATTTAACTCGTTAAATACTGTAGTTAAAAGAAAAATGTATAGAACCTTTCTTGTAGAGAACGCTTGTGTCTACAACTTCTGCAAAAACTTTTTCGGTAGCTTCAATAATTAATTAATAAATAAAATTGTTTACTACAAAAACTTTTCGTTGCGCCGGCGTTCTCCCCACCATGTATTATTAGAAAGAGAAAGCTAGTGTAGCTATTGTCCTCTCTTAACTTTATGCAATCTCCCTCCTCTGGTATTGAATATAAAGTATACATTTTTATAAAACTACTAATTATAGTGTATGCTATTATATAACAAATTTTTTATGTAAAATAAATAGAAGAATGCTTGTCACTTTTTTGAGAATCTTTCCATATTTATTTGCTTATAATTATACATATGTATGTATGTATAAGATCAAGTCATAGTATAACATAAATGAAATAATTCGTGTCACAATATGCATCATTTTGTTATTCATTGTACTAATCATTGATAGAATCTGGTAGTCTAAAAAGTACATTACTTTTTTTCGTAACACTTGTTTTGTACGTATTCAAATATTAATTCACACTTAAATTTCAAGAAATAAAAATTATGAATTACTTTAATTTACCTTTGAGGTACATTGAAAAATAAATTTTTCACAGCAGTATCTTTGTACCTATTACATGTCAATAGATAGTAAACTTAATAATGTTGAGTTTCGAATAGTAAATAAATTATTAACA